CTGTCAGTCTGTTCCATGCTTCTATGTCTCTGGATCTATTTTGTTGATCAGTTAATTTTTTTCGTTAGATTCCACATATGAGTGAGATCATGTGACACTTGTCTTTCTCAGACTGGCTTATTTCGCTTAGTATAATGCTCTCCAGGTCCTTCCATGCTGTCTCAAAGGGTAAGAAATCCTTCTTTTCTACTGCCGCATAGTATTCCATTGTGTAGATGTACCACAGGTACATCTGATGGTCACTTGGGCTGTTTCCAGATCTTAGCTATTACAAATTGCACCGCTATGAACATAGGGGTGCATATACAGTATTCCTTCTGATTGGTATTTCAGGTTTCTTAAGATATATTCCTAGAAGTGGGATCACTGGGTCAAATGGCAGTTTCATTTTTAATTTATTGAGGAAACTCCATACTGTTTTCCATAACGGCTGCACCAGTCTGCATTCCCACCAGCAGGGCACTAGGGTTCCCTTTTCTCCACATCCTCACAACACTTGTCATTGGTTGACTTGTTGATGGGAGCAGTTCTGACAGGTATGAGGTGACACCTCATTGTCGTTTTAATTTGCATCTCTCTGATGATCAGTGACTTTGAGTATGTTTTTATATGTCCCTTGGCCATAATCCAATTTGAAAATGGGCAAAGGACTTAAACAGACATTTCCGCAAAGTGCACATACATATGGCTAGAGAATATTTTTTAATGTTACAAAAACCTGTGCTAAGAAGCCAGTAATATATGGGGTACTTTGAGAACGAAGAGATAGAGGTATAATATACCAACTAAAAGCTGGGAGAGGAACTCAAGCTAGAAGTGGCGAGGAACCAGATCAGGTGCCTGCTGTGTTGACAGATGAGTAGCAGGGAATTGAAGAGACAGTTTTTTGGAAAACAAAGGGAGAAGAATTAAAAGTGACATAAAGTTTACATCAATGCTTTTTCTTCTGCCCCCTTTTCCTCTCTCTAAGCATGTCCTTGGATGAGAATAAAAAAAATAAAAAAGAGGGAGTATGTTTAGTGGAGTACAATTAAGACAGTGAATT